TCGATCTAGGCGATAGGCATGATGCAACACAACCAACCTGACCACCCAATCCATTTGGTCAAATCTTACCACCAGCATGGGTTTCTGGAGACCTACCCTAACCCAAATCCTGTTTATAATTCGGATAAACAAAACACAAGCAAAGAACCAGACCTCCCACTCACCTGCATGCAGGGTGGTGGGGTAGCCTAGTGTTCACTGGTGATGCCCACGGCCTTGGGGGTTTGATTCCCCACATGGACACAATGTGTGAAGCCCATTTCTGAACCCAACTCACTCACTTACCTGCATGTACTCCACAGATCCCATGATCCTCGCAGTTGATCAGCTCTTGAAAGCCTACGGTAATCTGTCTCACAGTCCCTGAACCACATTATTTTACCCTTTCGCCCAGCCCTTTCTGCAATGCTAAAGCCCTTAATGAAGCAAGTCTAGAATTTTGCAGGTGCTGAATCTCCCTTCTCACAGGGACTAATGTGCAATTTAAAAGGAATTATTTGTTTCTATGAAAACTACAAACTCATAGACTACGCGTTAGTCTATTGAAAGCCATGCACTTTCTTGTGGCATAGGTTAGATTTGCCTCACCATACAGATTCAGTGTCAATTATGTATAATCCGTCTAAGCTTTATGGGCTCTATAACAATACCAGACAAGGTTTTATTGCATGCTGGGGAAATTGGAAGCATTAATAGACAAGAGATGAAATTAAGACCTCATCTCTTATTTTCTTGCTTAATTAGCTCCCTCTATCTACCACCCCCACTCCCCACCATCCTCTATCTCCCACCCCCGCGCTCTCCCTCCATATTGATGGATTCATATAATTACTTCAATGAAATGTCAATGTTGGAGGACAGTCATTATTATATCTCTTCAACATGAAAAGTAACAGAAGATCAAAGGTTCAATCTTAGAAGGGTTTTCATTATAATGTTGTAGACATACTACAATGACAGATTTTTCCATGCGTTTTAAGTGAGTGAGATAGTACGGCTTCAAGCAGTATATTCGGTTATGCCATAAAGTGGTTGGAAAATCTAAAGTGAGTGAGTAAGTTTAGGTTTACGCCGCTTTTAACAATATTACAGCAATATCACAGTGGGGGACACCAGAAATGGGCTTCACACATTGTACCCATTTGGGGAAGCGATCCTGGGTCTTCGGCGTGATGAGCAAACGCTTTAACCACGAAGCTAAACCCCCCACCCCAAGCAATGGTGACTGAAGATGCTAACTGTTTGATTGAACCATAATGCTCTCAGAATGAGATTGGGTGGCATATGTAGTCTCTGTTGTAGCTTCATTACAACAATTGTAAGTCTGAATGAGTGAGTGAGTGGGCAGGACCGAGTCATATCATGACACATTAGATTAATGTCTAAAGAAACCCAAAGTGGCATATGTCCATGTTATATGCTTTGGTGGGCACAATGTGTGAAGCCCATTTCTGGTGTCCCCCGCCTTGATATTGCTGGAATATTGCTAAAAGCGGCATAAAACTAAACTCACTCACTCACTCACTATATGCTTTGGTGGTTCCGATAAGTATTGGTATGATATTGACAAACCAAAGAACATTCAGTCAATCTGGGAATGTTGATCAGCAGATCCTGATGTGCCAAAGGGACATAACTCTGCATGTCAGTGGTGGCCAGCCTTACCACTATGTCACCTTTGCCTGCTAAATAGGTAGGGCTGTGATGCCAGAAGCAGAAGTGAAGAAAGATGGATGAGGTTTCTATACAGTTAGCCTTAGAAAATTACATGACCATCAAAGTCCAAAAAATGGATTTTTTTCAAGGGAGCCTGTGAGGCAGCAGGCAATACGCAGAAGATTTGATGAACATTGCTAATACTGATAAGAGTAGATGGTCATTCCACTTTCACATCCTATAGAGAATTCTTTCAAGATGCTGAGGTCAGTGACATCATTATGTCAGGCGATGTACAGCTAGACCTATTCAACATTCAATGATGTGTTGTACAGCAAGCACACTTATGTGGATAATGGAACCGTTTACTGTAGAACGCCATGGGCAACACCAAGAACATGGGCAACACCAAGAACATGGGTAACACCAAGAACATGGGCAACACCAAGAACATGGGCAAAAAAACCCACCAAGAACATGGGTAACATCAAGAACAACTTGGAACAGTCATGCAACAGATGACATGACAGAATGGTCATAGTCCTATATGTTTGTTTGTTTGCCCAGCTGTGTGACGATGGTCTGTGAACAGTAGTGTTGGGAATTGGTTGAAATCTCACAATTGATAATTGGTTCATTACCAACGAGTAATCATCGAAACAAATAGGCTAGCGTCAATTTTCAGATTTTGGTTCTGTTGTTTTTTGTTTTATTTAGAAACCGTGCGCAAATTCCATTTGCAAATTTCACACCCAATGTAAAATGATGCAACTTGTTACTTTAAAGTGATGACTATTATATTATGAACATAAACTTCCTGAAGTGTTTAAGAAATATGAAGTCATGACTTTTCAGCAAGTGAAGTGAGCTTTCTAAGAATTAAACATATTTTCAGCCTCTGACAACTTCTAAGCTATGTTCCATCGTCAAGTGTTTCAAACACTAAACCAGTATTTCCAAAATTGTCTGTGTTCGATTATGAGAAAACGTGATCGATTGCTTGGTCGTTTGGTCAATGCGACCAATCTTCGATTATTTCAATTAATTGGAACACCACTAGTAAACAGTCACCTTGAAACCTGACTGAGTGAATTTAGTTTTACACTGAACTCAGCAATATTCCAGCTATATGCCGCCGTTCTGTAAATAATCCAGTCTGGACCATACAATCCAATGATCAATATCATGAGCATCGATCTACGCAACTGGGATACAATGACATGTGTCAACCAAGTCAGTGAGTCTGACCACCCAATCCCGTTAGTCGCCTCTTCTTACAACAAGCGTGGGTTACTGAAGACCAATTCTAATCCGGATCTTCACAGGTTCAACCTTTATATGATGATTATACTGATCCATGACTGAATAAATGATTATGATGATTCATGTAATTCTGGATGTGTTTGATGTGTTTGTGACATACACTGAATTCTAATCCGGATCTTCACAGGTTCAACCTTTATATGATGATTATACTGATCCATGACTGAATAAATGATTATGATGACTTATGTAATTCTGGATGTGTTTCCTGTGTTTGTGATATACACTGAATTCTAACAAACTCAAATCCTGTATTTGATTTTCTTAAAATCTTAATTCAAGAGGTATTTAAAAACATGACCTAAATAAAAACGAACTTGGATTTAAATTAAATATAAAAATATCCTTTTTTAAGCTGACAGTTTTGTCAGACTGAGACTATAACCTCACAATCTTTTTTGTTAAAATCCTATTTTTCCCATGTCTCATGATCCATTATGATTAAATGTTGCCAACACATAAACAGTTCCTAACTGCACTATTACATGGCGGAATAGCATGATAGTCGTGAACATGACAGAATAAAATATTTCAAGCATAATAACCCAAACCAAAACTGTCACTTACCCATAATAGGCGAAAATCTCTTGGGTCACATTTCTTGGAGGGGATAATAGTCTCGTGGAGTGGAGAGCGTTATTGTCGAATCAGCAGTTTTTATTGTATAATCATGCTGTGAGCTTTATAGAATCATAACTCAGACACTCTTTGGACACATGGGATAACCGCCAAAGTTATAGGTGTCATGGAAATTTGCCAAAGGCATTACCACCTCTTCATTAGAAAAGTTTTGTGGAAATAGCATCTTTAGTTTAACAGATCCCACTGAACTGACCTTTGCAACAAATCATGGATTGTCTAACAACTCATCTGGTGTCTTGTGCTGAGACTTTGACTATAGAGACAATGGCTTTGTTTTCGGTTAATGTGATGATTTATAAGATAATTCTAATCATATAAATTTTAAATTATAAATTCCTAGGTAATGTTTGTATTACTGCACAGAAGTCATTGCAAATCAGTGACTTGGTGATGAAGCCATCACAAGATGGTCACACCAATGGTGATTCAGGTGATGAACCCAGATGAAAATGTCAACACAAAGTGATGACATAGTGGTGATGCAAGTGATGAAACAGCAATAGTTGAGAAGGCAGTAAGACAAGTGATGACATCAATAATGACACAAGTTATGGCACCAATGATGAAACAGACAGTAAGACAAGTGATGACATCGATGATGATACAAGTGATGGCACAATGATGAAACAGACAGTAAGACAAGTGATGACATCAATTATGACACAAGTGATGGCACCAATGATGAAACAGGCAGTATCACAAGTGATGAGATCATTGATGACACAGGTGATGACACAATGATGAGCAGTAACACAAGTCATGACATCAATGATGACATAGGTGATGACACCAATGACGACATCAAATATAAGCTATTTTTTGGCTAACTAGGCACAGACTACATAATCAGATCATTTTTAGATCTCTCATACACCTACACAGGATGATGTATGTAACATCTGCACTTCATTATCAAATCACATATGTGATATAGGTAAGTTATGATCAAATGATTAGTAGCTCTGGACAAAGTTTTCAAGACAGTGTGGTGTAGTTTAACAAAGTAATCCCACCATTACCGATATTATTACTCCAGTACATCTACATTAACATTGGCTTCTGGCAATCGTATCTGTAAGATCACTGTGCAGAGTGGAATCTGGTCTTGAAACATCAGGTATAGTTAATGATAATAGTTTTTTGTCAGAATGGCATAAAAAAAATGAAACCTGAAGAAATGCATAAAGGTCTGGAACACAAATCAAATCACCTCCATAAACAGAAGACAGTCGAAGCAGTACTTAATCTGTAAACTAAGGCAGCCATATTTTTGTTCCTGGTTCAAACCAAGCAATTTGAACTAACAAGATCAGTTTTTGCCTATTGCCAGGGGAAGAGTGATCAGATGCAATTTATCACATTTCTGTCACCAAGACCAGCATCATAAGGTCACTGTCCTCCTGGCATCAACCAAACACTTGGGAGGAGTATCAGTGTTCACAATGGAACACACATCCACTATTTTTCTAGATGAAATATTAGACAGTACTGATCAGATGACTTTGTGGTACTTAGCCTTAGATTTTTGTGTCAGATTTAGGAAAGGTATGACCAGACAATCAAGTGATCGACAGCATGAGCATCGATCTACGCAACTGGGATATGATGACATGTGTCAACCAAGTCAGTGAGCCTGACCACCCAATCCCGTTATTCGCCTCTTACCTCTAATAATAATGATAATGTGTCCATTTATATAGCGCCGAACTCCACACTAGGTATGCTCATAGCGCTAACAATCAAGGTACAGCACATTATTACCCCGGATAACCCAAGCTGCCTGTTAGGCGCTAGATGGTTATAGTCATATGACTTTTTCCACCGGGTACCCATTTTCCTGCTTGGTGAACAGAGACAATTTTGAACAAGCTCACTTGCCTAAGGTGCTTCGTTGTGGGGCAGGACTCAAGTCCTAGAAGCCCTCAGGAGTCAAGCTGCCAAACACGGTCACCCATCCAAGGACTCTCCGAGTTCGACGCTGCTTAACTTCACCGATTTGTGACCTGAGCTTTGAGCACAGGACCACACGCCGCCACCTCTGACAAGGATGGGTTACTGAATCTTCACGGGTCTAGGTATCGTTACAACAGCTGCTTGTTTTATGTCACACTCATACCTTCCATATTGCATCCGATTGCCCTGATGGTCTCAACACTGCATGTTCTATACAGAGTTGCCTCTCTTACTCAAGCCAGGATGCACAGACCGTGTACTGTTAAAGACATCGATGGCCAAAGCTTCATTTTACTTTGAAGAGTTACCCCTCTTAGTCATTTCAGGATCCACAATCTGCACTGAAAGTGTGTTCTTCTCCCACGTAATGATTCTCAGCTTGTCAGAAACTATGCCGATGATTATTTCACAAAATGATAAAAGTCTTCTTTGGTTTTTGCCCACATCAAGCAAACACATTTCGATTTATCTAAATGCTGCTCAAATAACAGCCATAAACCACCATTATTGACTCATTTTCCTTTCTTTTCTTTCTTCTTGTATCTGCTGAGTATCATACAATAGGCTTATTATTCTTGTAATATGCCACTTGTCTGTAGTTCCTTCAGAATGACAGATAATCAGCACATAAAATAACAGGACAGACAGCTCGCTATCCTGCTATTTACTCAAGTGATTCACAGATATACACCAAATTGTTGAAAACCTTTGCAAAAGCAGCATATGAAATTCATTTGTTTTTGCCACTTGTCTTTTACCTTTCAATGTGAGTGTATGAAGCAATATATGGAGCAGGTTTGAAAAAATGCATTTGTCATATGCTCTTGCTTAACCAAATGAATTTCAGAGTTTTAGAACCAGGGGATTTTACCTTGTGGCTGATGAACAGACAGCTGGTGACGTGCATTTGTGACAGATCTTCCTGCCTGGAGTTTCTCATGACCGAATCCAAGTTTTTGTCCTCTGTGTGGAAACTCTTTGAGCATCTGGTTGTCTTCAGGTTCAATTATCAAAATAGCAGGAAACGATATGTGACAATTTCATATGAATAGATCTGTGTCATTTCTTCAGACACATTTATTTCTTTGGTTCGAAGGTAAACCTACTCTGACACAGGACACAAGCAATAGGTTTCACACAGTGTACCAACATGGGGAATGAAACATGGACTCCAGTGAGACAAGTAAACACCTTAACCACTATGCTATCCAAACACACATTTACAGAGACAGACTAATTTGAACTTATCATTTCCATAAGGATCCTGTGATGAAGGTGTGGGCAGGAATGTTTTTATAGCACTTGTTTGTGTTATTTTCTCAGTTATATGTACTTTGTTATTTGAAATCATTTGATTTTTAAACGTAAAAATCGTCTAAATTGTGAATGACAGAATCATCCCTTTATTCATAGATAATTGTTTTATCCCATGGAGTGGTGGAATAGCCAAGTGGACAAGTGTTTGTTTGTTACACCTCAGGACCTGGTTTGATTCCCACATGGGTAACAGACATGAAGCCATTTCTTGTACCCCTCCCCTCTATTTTGCCATGAGACCATCCAGTTTTTCAAAATTCTCATCTGTAACTTCAACTACCAAGGGAGCTGGTGGGCAGAATAAAGGATAAAAGAAATAAAAATGATTTCCACCAATTCTGCAACTTGTTTCATGAAATTATAAATTTTAGTCACTTGATAGTAGTCTTTGAATTAATTTATGACGTGTATTGATGAAGGAAAACAGAGTTGACCTTTTTCTGTATGTGTGTACAAGGGTAAGAGCACTATTTATCACATCAGCTCTAAAATTTCCACAGCTGCAGGGTAAAATGAGATACAAAACTTTTTATCATTTCACATCGAAACAAAAAGGCATGTGGGTGGGAGATGGGAAGCACGGAAAGAAATACTGACAGCCTGATATTGATGCTGTTTTCCTAAAAAAAAGGACATAAAATATACTAACTTATTGTTTGCCATATATTGATTGTGAAAGATGACTTCGGTAGCTTGAGACTCATCGCAGTAACTACTTCAATAGCATTTCTTCATTTCAGTTTTGTTGCTCTTACTGCAAAGTTGGATCGTCAAGTATTCAAGGCAACTACTTATATTCATGTGCAAAGTCTACAAATACGGACGCCTTTTGTCGCTTATATTTGCAAAGTCATCAAACGTGGACAGTTCAGTCATTTTCTAATCAATACATGTGATTTCTTCAATAGGCCTGAATAAGCAGAGGGGTTATTCACTCACTTTATTCACTTGGACACTTGTTAGAAGGAAACTCACAGCTTGGACTGTCAGTTTTTGTTGCAGCAGATTTCATTTAGTAATGCTGGGATCTATCCGTGGATGAATACATGAAGTGTCAGGGCTGATGATCATCATGTGCCCAGTCAATTAACGGAGTACCACAGGTTTAGTCCAAGTCTCTCTATCACTTGTTTGTATCCCACCCCATCGGACATGTCCAGAACGGATAGTCCCAGATTTCAATGTCTAGACTCTCTTTCATTAGATTACGCCAGCTAGCAGCTTGGATAATCTCTGGCTATCGTTACAACCTTTTCTTGGCAAATTGTTTGATCAATGATTTTCAGCATTATGAAACATATACCAGCAAATTAACATGACCAGCATGAAATATTGATTTCGAAAAGGTACTCTAGGCAAAAAGGTGTAATGTAATATTGACTGTCACGGTCGCATGTAGTGAGTCTGCCAGTCAAGATGGAAGAAATGTTCAAAGGTCTGAAACAATTTCATGGTGGCAATGGCATAAATCGTTGAAGTCATTTTGATGATATAATGAGATTAGCTTGTACTCCCTGTCAAGAATGTTGTAAATATCATGACTATCCCTATATTTTGAAGTTCTGATGATATCACCTCTTGATGTAATAATAATAATCTGAGTGATTGACTTGCGCCCGTGACAGTGCTCTTTATATCTCCTTCAAGACCAAGAGACATCCAGACACTTGACCACCTTGAATGGAACTCAATCTATCTCCCCGTGGAACTAGTTATGAGATATCGCATCTAATGAACTTGTAATCTTTACAAGGTGAGGTGATGACACCAATATGTGAAGATGCAGATGATTAAAGATGAATCGCTGGTCTGATCAGCATCATGTAATGGACTGGTCGTTTATCATAGCGGACAGAGGCCAGTGAGATTAAGGAAGGCCAGTGAGATTAAGTTCAGATTCATGAAAAAGTAAGATTGCAAAAGAATTGTAGAGTGGGCACTATATTTATCACAGCTATAAGGGGGTCTTGTCTCTGGACCTACTTTTCTTTAAATAAATATTTTTTAAATTTGAAAAAATATGAATGACTGGTCATTTATCATAGCAGAGGGAGGATGGGATTAAGTAAGGGGTCATTAAAAAATGACACTGCAAAAATATAGGCACCATTTTTATAGTTTTTTACAGTTTCTTTCCAATACTTTTCTTTTATTAATTATAAAAAATAATTGAATGACTGGTAATTTATTATAGGGGAGGGAGGAAGGAGGTCATGAAAAAGTGATGCATGTATTTGGGGTGATATGAGTGAGTGAGTGAGTTTAGTTTTACTCAGTAATATTCCAGCTGTAAGGCAGCAGTCTGTAAATAATCGAGTCTGGACCAGACAATCCAGTGATCAACAGCATGAGCATCGTTTTGCGCAACTGGGAACCGATGACATGTGTCAACCAAATCAGCGAGTCTGACCAACCGATCCTGTTAGTCGCCTCTTACGACAAGCATGGGTTACTGAAGGTACATTCTAACCCGGACCTTCATGGGTATGGGGTGATATGAAATGACATTACATGGATGGTTAAGAAGGGGGTTATGGCAAAATGTGATACAGTCAGTAGACCAATGTCACCGGCTGTAATGAGACTTTCATGCCCCCTCAATACTTTCAAGGTGTATGTATTAAACATGCTGCCAGCTGACTGGGTACCGTCAGCCATCTCAGAAGGATCGATGTTGCTACTCTGTGAAGATCAGTAGGAAGAAGCAATACTTATCACTTGATACACAAGCGAGTTCCATTTGTTCTGACAATGGACATGTTTTTAGTCTCTTTTTCTTTTAGCTTTTGGCACTTCTTAATGGAAACAATATACAAAGATAAAAAGCCATAGCAATCTGCAAACCATGCAATTAAGTAGTAATGAAGTAAAAACGATGCAACAATGGTTGTTGTCATAGAAACACAAAAAAATATTTTTAAAAAGTCTAAATTCCTTAATTGCAAAAAAACACAAGTGCATGACTGGACTGATATTTCTACAAAATTGTATCAAGTAATATTGACAATGTTTGAGTTAAGCTCTGGTAATAAACACTGCCCTCATTTGAACCGAAGTCCATTCTGTCCTAATGGTATCGAGAAAAAATAAATTCAAATTTTCTACATAGCAAAAGTCAAACGGTCATTGCGAAACTGATATCATCAAAGTTAGGACTAGAAATATTGAACTATTGCACAGCACACTGTCCCTCGGGTTCCCAGATCATGGCAGGCAACAATAATTGATCAAATGCATTGTATAGTCTCTGGACACAGCTAACTCCACAAGAGAATTCAGCCTTGTCTGTGTAGGGGGGACACATCTACACATTACTGCTGAACACCCTGCACCGCAGTCGAATATTATATCATGTAACTGATCAATCCATACAACTCTATGTTTACTTAGATAAATTATTAAACTAAACAAATATATTTCTATTTTATTGGTAAACCATAAAATGAAAATTCCACGTAAGGGCAGACCAATTTTATTTCTTGTTTTACGGATCCTCCAGTCATATTTTGTCAAGAATAAGAAATATAATAAAATTAATTTTCCCTGCTCAAAAAAGAAATCCTAACGTTTTTATTGGCCAAAAATGTAAACTTACCCCCAAAATTTGTTTGATTTTTTTTTTGCCCCATATGCGCTTCATAAATTGCCAAAAGTAAAACACTTTTAGTATTTAAAAGGAATATTACTTTGACTGGTGATTAATATTTTCATTTCTTTTCCCTCCTGCCTTTAGGTTTTCTGGGGACAAAAATCTGTAAAACAAGAAATAAAATTGGTCTGGCCTAAATACAGACATGCAGTAATTCTACAGCACCATACATCTTCTGCATCCAAGATGTGCAGCAGCAGATTTCCATTTGCCTAGGGATGGACTGAAGCATGTGTTTCTTGATGACGAAGATGGTAAAATATATGTCTGGACTGTCACAGACAATAAACATATAAAGGGTGACTGAGGGATGTTAATGCTGCCATCTATGATGTTCCAGTCGTATCACATTGGCCATATATATGTGACAAAGGATATTCCATTAGCATGAAAGAAGGCCAAACATGATTCTCACTAGATCTTCAGCATTTGTTTATGAATTACTATCAAATAGTGATACATGTAAACCTAATTGTGTGCAAAAATATGAGAATGTTCTGCCCTGATAGTGACATCCATGCATGGTACAAGATTCTCACACAATGTGTGAAATATGCATTATATTGGAGAGTGTGTGTAAAATCTCATAATCATCATCATCATCATGGTCAATCATGAAACAAGGAAAATTTGGTCCTAGGGTGAATCTCATGTCTCACAGCTTCTTATCTTTCACTCTCACTCACTCACTCACTCACTCACTCACTCACACATTCACTCACTCACTCAGCATCAAAGATCCATGTCTATAGTATAGAGTAATTACATATAAGTTGCCATGTCATTATAAAACTAAAATACTGCTGGTTAGTTCACTGATATGGTAAATCTTCCAAAATATATTTCTTATGAATATTCATCCATTTCCAAATCCAGTCACCCATTTCTAAATGTCAGTATAAATATATAATCAAAAACTATTGAAACATTAAAAACAGATTTGTTTTAGAAAAAGGCCTCCCAATATAAACATGCTTGAGGGTGGTTTGTTTTAGAACACTATGACTTTGAGACTAATTCTCCAGCCATTACTTATTCTTTAAGAATAATACAGTTCCAATGAAAACACACACCACTTCAGCCATAAAATCAATCTTTAATAATCCCTTGGCTGTATATTTAGTTGAGCTGTAGCAATATCTCATTCCTGATTTATCTTGTACAATACCCGGAAAACAATTCAGCTGTCATCGTATATTTTGATAGGTTTCTAGAACCCTTAATTTGTGTCTGCCAATGTTCTTACTCTATAGTTACCAGACTATTTAGATTCTTCGGCACCAAGAATAGCAGGACAAACCAAAAACAGTCAACACTGTAGTATTTCATTCCAATGTTGATTTTCTTTAAGTACCAATGGTCTCCAGTTTCCATCTCCAATTTAACACTTCCAGATAAGATTAGATTATTTCCTATTAAAGCTATCTGGTCATTGATGATAGAATATTAAAGTCAGGATAGCTTGGAAATGCCAAATCTTATAGAAAATTGCTTTAATGATAATATTGCATCTATATATCAAATCATCTATATTAAAAAATTGTAATAAGTAAACATTGCATCTATATATCAAATCATCTATATTAAATTGTAATAAGTAAACACATGGGGGGTTTCCCAGTGGTTGAAGCATTGTCATGCCGAAGGTCTGGCTTCAAATCCCAACATGGGTACAAAGTGTGAAGCCAATTTCTGGTGTCCCCCTCCATGATATTGCTGGAATATTGCTCACTCACTAAGTATCTAAAATACTTATGAAGAAAGTGGGTACAGTACCAGTAATCTCAAGTTCTTGTCCCTAGAATATTAGGGTAATCAAATGATTGTACATTTTCATCAATTCTGACCTGTAGTTTAGGAGGAAATATTTCACTTCAGACACTGGTTTCCACATCACTAATTTGGTCCTAAGCTTCCTCATCTAACAATGAAGTGCAGTTTTGATCCCATTTGCATGGACATCCGGGAGACAATCCTCTTCCAATAATTCTCCCAAGTCTTGTAATATTTGCACTCTTCAGTGTAAAGCTATTACGTTATTGCCATGCCCAACAAGCTGATATTTACAGGCATGATATCACTGGTGTAAGAACCCTTATTATGTTGGTATACCTGACAAACACGTAGCTCTGTAGACAACTGAGATTAACTTGAAGCTTTTCATCCTCCAGGACTAACCATGCTTCTTTGTAGGCTCCACTTCTTCCTCTATTTCATAATTCATATATCATAACATGGCAATCTATAGATTGGATCAACTGAGTCGTTGCAAGTTTGCATTAGGAAATGGTAAATTAAATGGTAGAATAACTCGGACGGAGGGTGTGAAATTGCTGTAATTTGATTGAAGAAGTGCAAGACCTGCTGCTGTTGTAATGGCTGGGTTGACGGTTGCTAGTCAGTGCCTGGTCTGTATGTCATCGATGGAACAAGGATGGACAATCTGGTTAAAAGTTGAGGGAACTTGCTGTCTCAGTGTTCATTACATGAAACAGCGTGCATGGTATATGCTAGATAAACATTGCATATTTCCCATCCATTACGGCAAAGGCACTGAGAGTCGATCGATGATTGTTATAAGGAAGTATGAAAGTTGTGATGTTGGTTTTCGGTGTTAGAGATGAAAACTCTGAAACTACCAAATTTCATTTGAGACCGAGTTGAAAGGGGGACAGATTCTGGATGAAGTTTCCTGTTTAAGAAATTTATGAGAGTAAACTCGAGGTATTTAGAACAAAAATATTCATGTCTATATTAATGACAAATCTGCGTCAGCTTTATCTTATTTAGGCAAGATACCAACTCAAGCATTGTCAGTGGCAGGATCAATGATGGGAGGCATTTCGGCATGAAATTTCAACACAGAAAGAGCATGGGAATACTGGCTGACTGAATCAATAGTTTCACCTGAGTTCATGCCAGCTCTGGCTCACAGTATTTCATGCACTTAGGAGACAAGAGTATTTTCTTTGATGAAGGCACACTATACTTACATAAAGGTCCATATCATCATAAGATGATAAAAGAATTAGACCAAGTTACACTCATGAGAGAGAGGGTGCGGTGGGGTAGCCCAGTGGTTAAAGCATTTGCTCATTACGGTGAAGGCCCAGATTCAATTCCCAAGATGGGTACAATGTGTGAAGCCCATTTTTGGTGTCCCCTGCCATGATATTGCTGGAATAAAAACCCAACTCACTCACTCACATGAGCGAGAGATGCCAGCTTGAAGAGCAAGAAGATGGCTATAAGATGAAAGGCGTACTAAACTTTTGCAATATTCCCTAAATAATGGTAAGTAAATATTCACATGGAGTAATAGAGGTTACAATGCCTCTGTGTGTGTGAGAGAGAGAGAGAGAGAGAGAGAGAGACAGACAGAGAGACAGACAGAGAGAAAGAGAGACAGACAGAGAGAAAGAAGGAGAAAGAGAGACAGACAGACACAGTGAGAGAGACACAGACACAGACAGAGAAAGAGAGAGAATGAGAGAGAGAGAAACAGAGAAATAAAAGATAGAGGGAATAGGAAAATGTTTTGACATTTTTCCTGGGTTGTATATTGCACTTCGAAATAAATTTTAAGTCAGCTGATAAGTGATAAATTAGATACCAGTATTTGAAATACAGAGTAAAACTAAATAAGTTAGCATGAGGACTCAGACTGCAGTTCCCTTGGGGAGGGGTGAGAGCTACCTCCTCCATACTAAGCCAGTGCATTGTGACAGACAGATTTACAACTACCATTCCATACATGTAGACAAGTCAGCCATCTCTACCTTCAGTCGGCCATTTCCTCCGTCCACAGACACCACACTCGACAGGCCAAGCAAGGGTCATACATATATCTCGTGGATTGATAGACGTTACCTTATAAAATCTAAACCATGAAACACAATACAATCATACATGTATGAGGGATTATTGAAGCTGAGCACACCAAATGTATATTACTGTCTGGTTGTGTCGTCCATATTGCAGTTTGAGGCTTTGTTGCACATTACTGAAGATCAATTCTTCAAATGTTGGTCTTATGGGGGATTCGGTAGTGGAGTACGGGATTATATTTTATAGATCTGGGAGCATACAGACAGTACTTGATAGCTGATGTTTCCTGTGGTCGTGGGAGGGATGATCGGGGCTTAGTGCTGTTGGCGGCAGTATCATGGCTGAGGGTGTCAATCCAGTCTGAGTGTGTCAATCCAGGCTGAGGATGCCAATCCAAGCTGAAGGTGCCAATCCAGGCTGAGGATGCCAATCCAGGCTAAGGATGCCAATCCAGGCTGAGGATGCCAATCCTGACTGAAGGTTCCAACCCAGGCTGAGGATGCCAATCCAGACTGAGGATGCCAATCCAGACTGAGGATGCCAATCCAGGCTAAGGATGCCAATCCAGGCTGAGGATGCCAATCCTGACTGAAGGTTCCAACCCAGGCTGAGGATGCCAATCCAGACTGAGGATGCCAATCCAGGCTGAGGATGCCAATCCAGGCTGAGGATGCCAAATCTGACTGAAGGTGCCAATCTGGGCTGAAGAAGACAATCCAGGCTGAAGGTGCCAATCCAGGCAGAGGATGCCAATCCAGGATGAGGGTGCCAATCTAGTCTGAGGGTGCCAAATGAGTCTGGTATGCCAGATGCCTGTTTAGTGGTATTACAGATGCCACAGTGCAGTGCTGCTGGATGCCATGAAGGTTTACTGGCATGCAGATTTCAACCTTAAAATTGTTTAATATTTTTTTTCTATTTTAAAATTTGACATATCCATAAAATATTTAACTCTATGTTTATAAGCATGCATGGACATGCATTCTACATGAAATCCCAGCTAGATATACTCATGTAGACTGACATGAGTCAAATCTTTTATTGGA